GGGGGGGAGGAGGAGACACAATACTGTAACACTGATGCCAAAGTGATAAGTAATAGTTTAAATGAATAACTTAGGTATCTGGAAAACCAGTCACCTATACTGAATAGCAAGCAGTCCTTAATAGTGCCAAATAGTCTGAGTTAGCAGCCTGATTCAACAGTGGTTAACTCTCAGTAACATTAGGGAGTTTAAGAAACCACGACTTAGGACAACGTCGATTAAAAATTGAATTTATATTTTACCTAAGAATCTCACAGTACCCCAAAGTCATATACTTTGTTTATCACTGTCAAAACTATCACGAAAGTAAGTCTGAAATATAAATTTGAAAATTAGCCATTGTGGTTCATGTTCTCTAGACAACACAGAATTTGGTCATTTCCCATCGAAGTTTTGCAGAGGATGGCTAAGAAATGTACCAAGAATTTTAACGCACATGCACAGCCATAGTACTGCTCATTAAATCTTTTGTTTAGTAACGTTCCCATTGCTGTCGTGGTTTTCTTCAACTCCCTTTTACTACAGTGTATGAGTGTAATTACCCTATAACCACCAATGCTATTTATGCTAACCAAAGTGTTACTGAGGGTAACAAGAGTGCTTTTTAGGCTAACCAAAGGGCTTTTCTGACTAGCCATGACTATTTGTCACTATTTGAGACTATTCACCATAAGTAGAATTCTACTTGTATTCTTATGCAAATGCTGCAATCTGATTGGCTGAACTACTTGTATGCTATCAGCCATTAGAGTGCAGTGGCACAAGGTCGTACACATGACGACAACGTTTTCTAGTTTCTACAATTTTTCAAGGAAGATTTAGAAATACTACTGGATCATTCAATTGTCAAGAACCACACGAATCTGACCATTATGTGGTTTTAAAACCTGAAAATTTTCAATGAACCCATGAGTGTGCATGCACAAATGCAAGTTTCAAGTAATCATTCAATCCATACTATTCTACTGAAGCATGAAGTTTAATGTATGTTGGGAAATGACTGGAAATCATTGTTTGGAGGAAATTTAGTTAGAATTCTACTAGAACAATAATTAGAATATTCACTCTCAATTTCTATGAGCTCATAGTTGATTCAGCATTCAGCTTCATCAACTATCACCTCATAGAAATCTCCAGCTCATAATCTCATTGCTAAATATGTACTGTTCACTATTAGGATTTTCCAGACTCCTCGACATGTACAACTTCTGGAATTGTACTATGTAAGTTCCTGTAGCTACAATAGTACTACACTTCAGAGACCACAGATATCCATACTGAATAGGTATATATATTCAGAATGATGTTCAAAGTCTTAACAGGACTGACATACACACCTTCTTTAACAGATTTATCATCATCTTTAGGGGCAACTTCAGCCTTGTACCGCAGGTAATCTCCCTTCATCTTTAAATAGAAAACTTCACCCTCCGCTTCATCTTGGTTCGGGGAATCTTTCTCAGTAATACCTTTAATTAGATACGTATCCAAAAGATCCTGTTGAGAAACATTTCCCCTAAACTCTTAATAAGGTAAGACCATTGTTTTGAGATAAGAACAAGCCGTCCACAGTCTTTCCGTTAAATGTACGAACACTACTGCAGACAAGGGTGGGGTGCGATACCTACCAGTACTTCATCGCAGACTTTATTTAATTCCTTCTCAATTTTCTCCCTATAATCTTTAATGGACGCCTTCTTTTCACCATTATCATCTTGTTTCTCCTCCAGAGCTGTCACAACCCTCCAAGAGGAACGCTTGGCTCCAACCACATTCTTGAAAGCTACAGAGAGTAGATTTCTTTCTTCACTAGCAAGAGACTTTTTATCTTTCGTCGCTTCCATCATTAACTTTGCCATATCATCGTATCTCTCTGTCTGTTCAGCAAGCTTTGCTGCCTCTACTCTCTCGTCTGCCGTCATTTCATCATTCATTGTGTTTTAAGTTCGTAATCCGACTTAAATCTGCCGGTATTTCCTAACCTTCACGAGGAAACTTACTATCCAATATGGCTGGATCAAGGACGTAGTGGAGCGAGCGGGCGTGCTTCAACATTCGCATGCGGGGGGTCCAGGTATCGCCGTGGAAACTCGTGACGTTTGCTCATAAATTAAAGAAATGCATAAATTATTTTACAACAGCGCGATTTTTTGCGTGAATATTTGGATGATTGAATGAAGCTGTGAAGCGCTGATAATCGTTTCCTACGATTTCAAACCAAGCTGTTATTTAATAAATATATCGGATTGGAAAAGTAAATTAATTCGATATTGATATATGCGGTAATGGGTATGCCTTTTTTCAGATTTGAAATTTATAAGCTTTAAAAATATACCTGAAAATGAGCTCACATCTGTTGTGTCTACGATTATTTTTTGCCAGAAGGACCGGCCCTTGCTAAGACTCCCACCTTGTTGTAAAAAGGGAAGGGGCGAAGTCGCATATAGGGAAAAAAACTCAGTCGAGTCACGACCATTCACTATGCGAGGGGATTGGGAAAGAGATTCGGGTAATTCAGCGCTGTCCAGGTTAAATTTACCATTTTGACTGATTTTAAGGTGAGTCAAGTAAGTTATCTTTCTTGTCTTGCAACTGATAAGGGTTTACGTTTTCAGGGGGCTCAGCCCCTACTTGCTCTCTTAGCTCCCTGAAAAGAACCTGACATAAAGCTTATGGTCTATATATATTGTCCAAGTCGTCGGATATTTTCACAACAGACTTCGATCCATTTGGCGCGAAAATGTGCTCGAACATTTATCCGCGGACACAATTCCGAGAAGTGATCAGGAAAACTGTGAGCTTTGACAAGCAGATAATTTCCAAGGACAAATATCCGGGCATATTTTTAAAAGTCAAATGGAGGCTATTGTGTCTATTATCCTTAATATATTAATAACTAGTAGTAATCACAGGTTATGAGAGTGCGTTCGACGCTCTCACTTTAATATATAATTATATATCGTAAATAAATGATTTCACTAGCTGACTTTCAACCTTTGTCTATTGCTAAAATCAACATTTTTCAGCAGCAACCGAGGTTTTACAGTCAGATATGCATAGTGTCAAAGTCCATGCTAGTGAAGAGGTCACGATTTGTTGATACGTTGCATGACGCTGCCAGTTTCTGTAGTCTCTCAAGTTTCATAGAATATTTAAATCACGTACATTATTCTAAGCTGGCATTTGCAGTCGCGTGCTCGTTTCACGAATAATTTCGAGTATTTCCCCTGATGAATAAAGTAGTCTTATGGATCTTGCCTTCAGAGTACTTTTCCACCGATTCCAAACAATAAAATTTCAACGGGATAAAGACTGAGCTATCTGTCACGACTGGAACTAATCAACAAATGCAATCAAAATGTAGCTGTTCCCACGGTTATCATCCCAAAGCCACGTTGTGTTAGTAAACAAGGACAATTCCCTCAGATTGCGATAAATGCTGCCGTCGAAGCGTTTAAATTCGCCAAAATCTAACGCTGAGATCACATAATAGTGAGGCGTACGGCGACTGAATGGAAAGAAGTCAAAAAAAGATCCATCGGAAAGACAAGCTCACATGGCCTGCTCGCATACTCACATGTCGCCACATGTCTTATCACATGTCTTAGCATTAAACGGTACCAGTTTACTGGCTGTGAAATGCCCCTGCAAAAAACAAGGGGGGTGGCCATTTTGGTGTCCTTACAGGAATGTGGTATTTTTCAGCCTAGAACCGTGCATAGGGAGACTAACTCTGAAAAGCCACAGGTCAAAATTAGGTTTGCGTTCCACTTCGTCGAACGCAATAATATTCTTAATTTTGCAACACGTGGGCTGTGTTGAAAATTGGGGAATATATAAACAATATATACGAAAACATGCTAGAATATTTGTCTGCGGACGTTATCTGTTCTGAGAAGCAAACAGTTTTCTGAGAGCGTAGCTCGAGGAAAACTGTGAGCTTCCATGAACAGATAATGTTCAAGGACAAATATCCGAGCATATTTTCACGCCAAATGGAGGCTATTGTGTCTATTATCCTTCAAATCTTTTTCCCAACATGTGCAGTCTTGAAAATTGAGGAATATCTCGGGTATCCCCCAGTTTTAGCTGGGGAATGTCCGGTCACGTGAAGTGTTTAGACTAATCGTGCGCGAGGGAAAATATTTGATGGATTATAACACTCAGATATTCCCTAGTTTTAGCTGGGACGTATTCAGTCACATGATGCCTTAGACCAATCGTGTGCGAACAAAAATAGGTGATGGATTATAAACACCAATATATTGGTATACCCAGTGGATAATAAAATAAACACTAGCCTCCATAAAGTATACTAGGGTATACTTTCGTCCCGGGAGGGGGGGGGGGGCACTGCCATATATGGGCTATATAGGTATGTGCCGCTGTGAAGGGTATGGTTTTCAAGCAGTTTACTCTGGGATAGGGTATATAAATCAGAGCGTTTGGGTCTAGAACGCGGTATCATTTTTCACAAAACTGACTGGTTGGTTGAAGATTTTATCTAGAGTAAGGAAACCAGAAAGTGCCACTCAAAAATATAAAAAAATCAAATCAGCAAGTTTAAATTTACGCAAATCAGCCTCAACAGCGTCAATAGATGGGGGGATTTGGGGAGTGTACTCTAGTGTAGGTTAGCAAAATTCAGCTGAACTAGCTCTAGTATAGGCTAAGGGTTCCAGGGTCACGGCAGCACATCCCCACCCAGAAATTCCCAAAGTACCCCCCTGGGACTTTCGTCCGCAGACCTTATCTGATCTGTTCTGAGAACTTAACTGTGAACTTTGAGGAACAGATTATGTCCACGGACAAATATTCAAGCATATTTTCCTGCCAAATGGAGGCTATTGTGTTTATTATCCTTGAAATATTTTTTGCAACAGGTGCAATTTTGAAAACTGGGAATTATCACTCAGATATTCCCCAGTTTTAGCTTGGGTATGTTCAGTCACGTGATGCATTTAGAGCAATCACTCGCAAGCGGAAATATTTCTTGGATATTATAAACATGAACATTGATAAAATTAAGCTTATACATTTCACTTGATTTGTTTTATTAGAAAAAGATCCTTCACTTATTGATCGATCATTTGTTGATTTTCTGAGCAAAGATCTAAGTAAAGGAATTTCAAGTGGGAATAAGAAACAGTAGAATCCCATGTACCGACATTTAGACCACCCGTGTGTGGCCAATCAGACTGTGAATTTAGCTAATAATTGGCCAGTGGGTTATGCTATTTGACGAGAGACAGCATTGGGAGCTGGTCCAAACTTCCAGGCCAGTAACAACAACAAAGATATTGCTTATTGCCATAAACCTCAACAAGACATGGCATTAGGGTCGAATTTACACCTTCTGTAGGAGTGGGGAGCAGGACGTTGGAGAGACTGGGATGGATCTAGGGGGTTCAAGGGGAACCCCCCCTAAATTAAATAAAAATGAGACATCTTAACAAGCTGACTTGTCCTCAAAATGCCAGAAATCCCATTTCCAAGGACCTCAATTTTAAAACAAAATTTCAGGGAGAGGATGTTGTTGAATCCCCCTGCAGGGGACCACCTTGGGTGGCCCATATATTGAATCCCCTTCTCTAAAATCCTGTAACCACCCCAGGGAGGGAAACAATATTGTTGTTCTTACATTTCATTTCCTCATTAGAGGGTGAAGGCCAATTCAGCCAAAATTCTGAAACCAAACAATTTGCTGGCAGGCATTCCTTTTAAAGCCATCTGCATCCATTCACAAAGATTAACTTTTGTCAGCAAGACAAATATACTTTTCAGCTAGTCAAGAGAAGGGGTGGTGAATGGTAAATGCAAGACTTTGCAAGAAGGCGAGCGTTTTTCTATACGAGTGCCTGAGACATTTTGACTTCTTTAATTGCGAGACTGAGACTTCAAAGTATTTTAAATGCGAGCTCAAGGCGTTCATGTTCTTGGGTGGATCTAGTTGGGGTTTGGGGGGTTTGGTTGAACCCCCTAAATTAAAAAAAAATGAGACATTATAACACGCTGATTTGGTATCAGAATGCGGTAAATCTGATCCTTTCCAAGGAGCTCAATTTTAAAAATTTTATGGAGGAGGATGCCCCCAGACATCCCTACAGGAGGGGGGTGAATAGGCTTTCGGATTGACAGGTTTGACCTTAAAAAGCGCACAGATTGTGGATTTTTGCAGTAAATCGAGCAGATTGGCGGATTTTGAAAACACAGTGGATCATGGATCAGCTGTGAATTTTGACGTGGATTCCGGATTGTGCCTGTCTTGATGCTCTGATCTTGGGTCCTAAACAAAATTTGCCCTCTCCAGCCTTGGTCGGTATGTTAATGAGTTCATCCAAATTATTTCTTTTTTCGAGCAAAGCTCATTTAAACTCAGGTGTGAGACTGTTATTGAAATTGTACTGTGTTATAGTCATCAAGCATGTTGCCTTCTTTA